GAAGAGATCAATGCAGATCACAGTACATAGGCTGTTGGTAAGAGGCTCTGGGAACTGGACACAAAAGCATAGTTCTCAGTCTCAGAAAATGGCCTTAACAACGGACTGACACAAATGTTTTCCATGCTTGTTTGTTAGTGCCTTAACTCAGAATGATATCTGATTGTTCTGCACTTTCTCTTATTTGGTGGTTGCTTGTATATGTGGACGGGGCCTCGGAGGCATCCCAGCCTGACTGCTACTGACTGATGGTTCATGAGACTGAGACAGCGAAGTTAATTCTGTCACTGTAGTTATACAACATGGTATGAATGCTTCATGCCTTCAAACTGCTTCCAGTTATCCCAGCAAAACCTACTGTACACGTAGCTTTTGTGGAAGTGTTCTTTTATTTGTTCAATTGGTCATTTTGGAGATGACTTTGCTGTGCCAGCAAGAAAATTCCTTTCTCTGGTGTATTCAGAATTCTCAGTCGAATAGTGTTCATGGCAGAGGACAACAGCAGGCTATATGCACCCACGTTACATATGCATCAAATACAAAACAATAACTCAAAAACATAATGCTCCACTCTTACTGCTGATTAATGATGAACAAGCATGCATCATGATATGAGCCTTTCATCATTCTTGTCTAATCTGAGTCATTTGGAGTTTTGAGATCTCACCCTCCTTGCAGTTGCATATAGGACAAAATAGAAGAGCTGTAACACATCTCTGCATGAATTACAGTGTTACCTTTATGTTCAACAAGGCTGACTTTATCCCTTGCAACGTCCTTTCTATGAACCATTAAGGGTAATATCAACAGCAGATGAAACTTTATATATATGGATGACTAATTAAACTCTGAAATCTGTAATGGTGCCAGGGCAGTTGTGAATATCCAATTCACATGATAACATGCATAGTGCTACAAAAGGAGAGATTGTTTCGGCATCAGTTTTGTGCAAAAGCTTCTTTCTTATTTTTCTTAAACTGAAGGAGGTGCAACCAGCTGTACTTCATGCTAGAATAATAATGGATGGAGTTTATAAATGAAAGCAACTATGCCTGCTTCTGGAGCTTAAAAGCAAAAGATGTAAGCACATAGCAAGTTATATTGCAGTATTTCTATAAAGTTATTTTAAGGTGAAATATGGAGTATCACTAAGTCTTTTTTTTTTTTTAATTTTTTTTTTCTTTTTTTTTGGTGGAGAAAAATACTGAGGACTTCCTAAAGTGAAAATTACTTTTAAAATATTCATAGACCTTGGAAAATGTCAGAAAATTATGCTAATATTTTAATTTTATATGAACTAAGACAGATTGGCCTCAATTCCATAAAGTGTTATAGTCTAGGAAGATGTTCGGTTACGGATGTTGCTTTGACACTGGATCTTAATTAAAAGATAAGTTTTTTGCTGTTATTCTTAACGCTGAAACTGTAGGCCTGGACAACTTGTTTCCTCTCTGTTCAATGTAATTGTTTTCAAGGTATTACAGTTCTTATTTACATATATACCTTTTAAAAATTAATTGTTTAGTTAATCAAATCTAGGTTTTAAAGCTGCATGCCCAATTATTCTTTTCATTCCCAAAGTCATTCTTGCAACAATGTTTTTTGACTCTCAGGACATTTTTCATACCAGTACAAGATTTTTTTCTTTACTTTTTTGAGAATTAGAAACTTTGAATACTGAACTTCTACTACTTATCCATTTGTTAATGTCTCTGGAAGAATACCAAGCAGAGGACCACCATGCACCAGGGGTGTGCTTTTGAGTACTGAAGCATCTTTAACTGTTTATAAATGTACCTTTTTTTTTTTCTTTTTCTTCTGATGTTTTCCCTGTGCTTGCCACACAAGCCTTTGTACTTGCTTCTAACTGCATAATCAGATGCAAACAAATCCCTGTTCAAATACAGCAGTCTCTACTTCAACTTATTGTATGAGCACGGCAATGTGTATGATGTGGACAGAAATCCCAACTGAAATTAATCAGCTTTCTAGAAAAAAAAAAAAAATCAGTGCTGGGCATTGTGGCTTTTTGAAAAGGAAGCACTCTGGTGAGATCAGAGCAAACAACTGAAGTGCAACAACTTTTTCCCTGTTCAAACTAGATTGTGCGTAGCGCTGGTCAGCACACAATACCCCTGCTGGATATGTCACCAGATATTGGAAAGTTTGCTTTCTCAACAGAAAACAATGTTACTTTTGGGTTCCTTTAGGGTTGCTAAATTTCTGGTATTCTTTGAAAACTATCTGTCTAAGTGAAGAATTACATGATTTCTAAAGTCTGCATTCCTAAGCTAAGGCGAGAGGTGGTGAGGGTAAACCCGAGTGATATTGAACAAATGTAGTGCTTGCAGAAAGTACTTCGTAGCAAGGAAGATCTTTGGGCCCTAGGCCCAGAGAGAATACTTCTGACCTGCTCAGAACAGCCGAGCCCCGACCCAGAAGGCTGCACCAGTCGCTGCGGAAGCGGAGCCAGCCCCTCGACGGCGCGAATCCCTCGAATGGTTCTCAACGACCGCTGCCCCGCCGGGCGCGCGCGCCCCCTGCCGGCGCCCCGCCGCCTCTGCCAGGTCGTGGCGGGTAGGCTCCTCCCTCCTCCTCCTCGGGAGCGGGACGAGCCCCGCACCCAGCCCCTCTTCCTGCCCCCTCCCCCGGTGCAATGGAAGTCCCCGGGAATCCTCCTCCTCCCCGCTAACAGGCGGCGGCCCGGCCCGGTGCAAAATGCTGGGCATGTACGTGCCGGACAGGTTTGCCCTGAAGTCGTCCAAAGTGCAGGACGGGATGGGGCTCTACACGGCCCGCAAAGTGAAGAAGGTGGGTGACGGCCTGGGAGCGGCGGCGCGGCCCGGCGGGGAGCCGCTGCCACGTATCCCGGCAGAGCGGGGCGGCTCAGCCCTGTTCGCTCGGCGCTCGCCCCACTTCCGCCCGGCCAGGCTCCCTCTGCCCGGAGCCAGCCGGTGCCCAGCGGGGCGGCGTGCCTGGGCGGGAATGGGGAGCGGGATGGCCGGCCCGGCTACCTGCGGCGGCTGTGCTCTGCGGGCTGCTGCTTTCCCAGCTTGTCACGACTTTATTTCATGCTTCTGGGTTCGCCTAGTCCTCCCGGGACGGACGTGCCCGTCTGTCGTGCGCAGGCTCCTGCCTCATCCGAGTCGCTGCAGCCCGGCGGGCGAAGGGTTAATTCCTCACTACGGGGCCGCGTCCCCAGAACTGGGGAGGGTGTGATCCCCCTGACTGCAGCTACCCGAAATCCCTCCTGTCCCAAACAGGACGTGGCTCCTTGTGCTCAATGACTGAAGGGAAAACCTCTTAATCGTTTGGAGTCCCTATTAAAACTGCTCAGTTGACACGTTTGAACAACTTGTTTCAACCGCTAGAGGCATACCTGAAGTTGTGAACCCTGCATTTCTGTGCACTTCTACTTACTGTAAATGTCTTGCTTTACATCTTTGCCAGGTTTTGGTGCTGACTTGGTTGGGAGGACTGCCAGGTGTTGCAGTGTCCATTGGGCTTAAACACCGTAGGGTAGATGTGCCTCATCTCTGAGGCCTCCTTTAGGGATAAAAGGAGGAGAAGGGGATCGAGGTTTTTATCGGTTGGCTTAATGGCTTTTTTTTTTCCACTGACGGTCTGAACGCTCATATTAAACCTTTGGGAATTCACACATGAAGGAAAGTTGTAGACTGCTATCGCACATGCATCCCTGGACTCTGAAATGGAATGAACTCGAGAGTGAAAGTGACCAAAATTAATATCTGCGTGTCAGTATCTGCTGAAAGTCTGAATCCTCTTCCTTTATACTGTTCTAAATCAAGTCCTTAGATCTGCATGCTAGGAAAAATAGATCTTTTTTCTTGCTAGAACTGCTCCATATCGTTTCTGAATTGTTTTTTTTTCACAGGGCAGGTATATGCTGTCAGAGCTCTGCCTGCACAGCTGTGTCAGTGTGAGCTCCTTGTTCAGGACGTCCTAGCAAAACCCGCAAGTTGCCTGTGGGATGTGTACTGCATGTGAAAAGCAGAAAGGAAAGGCAGAGACGCTGACTGTAAGATCTTTCAGAGTTTTAGGAGCATGTTGCGAAGTGCTTATTGTGGATTTGGTTTTTGTTTGGCATTGAATCCTCTGTGCTTTTAGCACCAACAGATGTGGTATGCAAAGCCCTGGTCAGAGCTATGTGCCTGACTTTGCTTCTCAGCAAGATGAGGAATCAGCTTCTGAGTCGCCCTATGAAAACTGGGCGTTGTTTAGAACAAGAATTCCTAAAAATGGTTAAAGAACTAAGCACAATGTATGGCCTCAGCTGTTCAGAGAACAGTAGATGTATAAAAAGCACAAATAATACACTGGATATTACCAGGCTGTGTGTTACTTTTTTCCCATGGAAAAAAAATCACATCTGAAGTGCTTTCAACTTTCCCCCTGCCCAGTCATGAGTGAGGCAGCAGTACTATGCTTCATGGCTTTGATACAGAGTAGTTAACAGCTGTCAAACAAGTAATTAATTGGTAATTAATTCTTCAGAACTCTGAGACTGAGAGTAGTTGCTGAATATGACACTGATTGAAAAATAAAATCTGTGTTCTTGAGCTGTGCCCCAGCCTGGATAAAAGAAGGCTGTGTAGTGACCTTATTGCAGCTTTTCAGTGTCTAAAGGGAGCTTATAAGCAGGAAGGGAGTCAACTCTTTACAAGGGTAGATAATGGCAGGACAAGGGAAAGTGGTTTTAAGTTGAGGGAGGGAAGATTTAGGTTGGATGTCAGGGGGAAGTTCTTTACAGAGAGAGTGGTGAGGTGCTGGAACAGGCTGCCCAGAGAGGTTGTGGATGCCCCATCCCTGGAGGTGTTCAAGGCCAGACTGGATGGGGCCCTGGGCAGCCTGGTCTGGTATTAAATGTGGAGGTTGGTGGCCCTGCCTGTGGCGGGGAGGTCGGAGATTCATGATCCTTGAAGTCTCTTCCAACCTGGGCCATTCTGTAATTCTTTTATTTCCTATGAATAGGATGTAATACACAGCTGTATTTGAAAGTCAAACACACTTCAGATGATCTTATATCAGAAATTGCAGTAACAACTGTCCAAATGTTAAATACCCATGAAGAATACTCTGAATATTAAAGTGTTTGCAAAATTTTGGAAATGGTATGTTTTGAACTGCTGTTACCTATCATCTGCCTTTGTGCCTTCAGGCATTATGCTATGTTTCCAATTTTTTTTTTTTTTTTTTTTTTTTTCTGAGGGTGTAAAAGTGAAATATGTTTGTTTTGTGACCTTTATAAAAGCTGTCATTTTCTTGTAATTTTTTTTTTCTCCAGCATCTGGAGTTTGGCTGCAGCACCAGTATGATAAGACCCCTGGTATAATAATGAGAGCTATTGCATTTCTCAGTGTTCTGCTGAGATCGGAACAAGATTTGTCACGTTCTGAAAAGCAGCTTTTTTTGAATGATGTGCCTTTCATAACTTCAGACTGCTTTATTGATCTGTGAGGAAGTCTTACTATGTTTCTGATCTATATATTCAGTATGATAGCGTGCTTATTGGCTAGGACTAATTGATGTATTGGAAAAAAAAGATAATCTTTGAGGCTGAATTAATAATGGTGCTTATCCCCATGGGCCTTTGTGTTGTTAGATCCCAGGTTTTGTGTCTCTAATTTCTGCTTTCTGTCCAAGTTTGAGGAGCCGTAAAAAGCACTTGGAAGTTTGAATCATCTCCAGTTCACGTTACATTCTCTTTATATTAGAGGTGGGCATCTTGCCTTTTGCTTTCTCTATTGTTCTGAGCTTCCAGAAGGACTCAAACATATTGCAGTAAAGGTTTATTACCTTGGAGTAGTTGAGCTAGGAATGACATATGGTGTTTCATGTTTTCAGTCAGCACGCACTACTAAGCTGTTGCTGTGTTTCACCCCAGAGGCGATGCAGGGTTCAGTGATGGGTAAAATTAATCCTGTAGGTGCTTTATCTGGTAGCTAGGCATCTTTTCGGTTATGAGGATGAAAGTATTACTGAGGTGAGGGTTGTGGAAACTTCCAAAGTAGTTAAGGAATTAAGTCATCACTTTCTGCTCACTGAAGTGTTATTCTGCTGCTGAAGTGAGTCTGGGAGACTAGTTATTGAAAGTTCTGTATTCATTATGTGCTTAAATTATTTCTGTATTAAATTTATGGAGAATTTATCTTTTTCTTTCCATAGAAGAGAAGAGATTATAGTCAAACAATAGTTCTTTTCATCTTGATAATTGCTACAAGTAACCGGAGATTCTGCAGATGCAATTATGCCCTTCTTCAGAGCTCAGCAGTTGTAGTGAGCTATTTTCCTTTCTGCACTAAAACTACTTGATGCTTTGTAAAAATGTGGGAAAAGCAAGTTCAGTTTGGCATGAGGTATCTTCTCCACAAGGGCCTACCTTATCTTCACTGACCCTAGAAAGGACCATACAGCTCTACAACAGAATTACTCTGCTCTCATCTTGACTTCTTCCTTAACCTAAGAGAACAACACAGCAAATTGCCCCCCTTGTAACATCTGCATGGCCCCTGTTAGTGCTGTGCTTCTGGAGGGCATTCAGGAGAAGATGAGGACATTGGTGGCTGTGCACAGGTAATTGTACTGACCAAATTTCACCTTCATTGCAAATGGAGTGAAAGAAGAAGGGAATATTAGTTTGAACGTTAAATCCTAGGATTTGTAAGCTGACAGGAGAGGACCATTGACTTCTTATGATTAGCTGGAATGGAAAACAGAGGGAAGTGAAGGAGCTGAAGCCTCGCAGTGCCAATATTTGCTATCCCTGCTAATATTTGCTAACCCTGCCCATGTTTGCGTCCCCATTCATGATTTGGGCTCCAATTTTTCTCTGGTGCTTTTGTCTTTTTAGCTCCTTTATTTGCTGGTCTTTCTAATGATATCTTTGTTGAGCACATTTCAAACTATTGCTTCTGAGTTCTGTGTCGTTATTATTCAATGCCTATTTTGTTTTTTTTTGTTACCTCCTCAGATTTAATTTTTTATTTTTTTAATTTAGTTGGTTGTTTCTAGGAGGAATCATCCTGTAGGTCTTCCATGCCACTTCTTCATTGACACTGTACACACTGGCAAGGAAGGAAGAGGGCAAATGTGCAGCAGACTGTTCCTAGGATTGTGGAATGTGCCTGCGGGAGGATATTTTCAGAGAAGATTGATCCTTTTATTAGCCAAAATGTTGTGAAGATGAAACAAATTTGTTTCTGATTGTGTAGTTATAACTTGTAATGCCTTAAAGTATATTAGAGCCTTTCTATTTCAATACTGCCTAAAGGAAAGTAGTATTCTGCATTCCAGTTTGTATGGTTTATGATTGCAAATAAGAACAAGTGGAAAAAAAAACGTTAGACCTATATGAGCACTGGGTATAGAATTTACCCTGCTGCTGACATGACATCTAGAAAGGAAAAAAGAAAAAAACCAAAACACTGAACAACAAACCCTGAGACATTTGGAAGGACATATCAGTGGATGTTTTCACAGTATGTGTTAGCGCTAGCAGGTGTTAGAACATTTTAATTCTGTTTTTGAAGGCTTGAATTAATTCACAGAAGTGTGCATACTCCTACTTTTAAAAATAAATCCCTCTGTGTGTTCAAAACCTCAAAACTATTTAGTGATTTGATCTGTGGCACTTCAAAAAGTAGTGTTGCAAATAATTCTGCAAATAAATCTAATGAAAGCTTTGTGCTTACCAGATGTCAGATACTTTGCATTTAGTAGGATGTCTACTGCAAGGTGATTCCTGAGAATCCTAGAAGAAATCTGGCTTGTAAATATAACCCTTATTTAAAATCTGAAAAAATGCTATTTGCAAAATTGGAAATTAAGTGTGAAGAGGAAATATGGTTTCAGGAGATTCACCACTCTGTAAAAAGAGTGTGAATGAGCTTGAAGTTGAACTCACAGTGTTGTGCATGTTTCTGTCAGATAGTGGGTTTCCAAAGGAAAACTGCCCTTTTCCACTTGAAGCTAAAATTGAGACCTCTGCTGGAGCTTGGAAATTCACTGGCTATTTATTTTATTTTTGTGTGTGTGTGTGTCCATGTGTCCACTGATTCATTTTCTTTAATAATCATTTCTTAGGGTGAAAAATTTGGCCCCTTTGCAGGGGAGAAACGAATGCCTCAGGAACTGGATGAGAACACAGATTGCAGGCTCATGTGGGAGGTGAGTAGTCCACAGTGACATCATCACACTTAGCAAAAACTGCTCCCAGAATTAAGTTTTACTGTAACTTTTTTTTTTTTTTTGAAGTTAAGGCTTAAGGATACTGTAACTAGTCTTTGTACTTACTGCCAATGTTCATGGACTTTTTTTTTTGAGAATGAGAAATTGCTTCTTTTAAAGGATAAAGAAATGGCAAGTAGTAATTTCTTATCAGTGAAATGTGAAGATATGAAAGCATAACAGTGCTGTGAAAAATTGTTGAATAATGTGAAAGAAAATGAAAATGATTCAAGTCATTTGAATATGGGAAGGTGGTTTTCAGTTATGAGATACTGATGTATGCTTACCAACAGCTGCCAGCTCATATAGCACACTGTCTACTGTGATGCTTTTAGTAGCATTTAGTAATTCTATGATAATTGCAAGATAAATAGTATGATGAAAGTTTTCGTATTTACCAGCATTTATAATTCTTTGTATAGGTATGAGATCTTTAGCAAAATAAAAACCTGGTGCTATGCGCAAATGAAGGTACAGGGGTTTTCGGGGCTCTTCTAAACTTGTTTGAAGCACCTGCTTTTGTACTTCTGTTCCATCCTTATAATCTTTCTTTTCTGCTGTAGCTCTTTGAGCCTAATTTCACTCCCTCCTCCCCCCCCTTTTTAATTTTTTCTTTCCGGATGAGCACTTTGAACTGTAAGCACATTTAGTCCTCATTGATACCGGAAAAGATACTCATTTTCAAGGTTCTTGAAGCTTCTTGGTTTTCAGTGGTTAGGCATGGAAGAATGATGGTTATTTGGATGTTGTATGGTGTTGTATGGCATGGTGCAAAAACTTAGGCTTGACATCTGCCTTATCCATGCATTTATTGAAAAAAAAAAAAAAAAAAAAAATCAACCCACATTACAGCAAACCAAACTTATTTATAAAAACCAATGAAAAAAAACCCAAACATTAAGATCATTGAGAACCTTGTAAGAGAGCACAGTGTTGTTACAGTCTTAGCAGAGCTATAAATAGATTCAATGCAGTAGAATGACATGTGAAAGAATACTAAGAGCTGAATGCACATTTTGTTAAACACAGTCTCAGCTTAAATCCAGTGATGGAGTGGCAAAAATATCCCTAGATGAGTATTAACTCACGTCTATGAATTCGTGTACCTTTGTTTATCTCTCTCTCTCTCTCTCTTTTTTTTTTTTTTTTTTTTTTTTTTACTTTAGGGACTTACCGAAAATATCTGTTCCCATAGAGGTGTGGGACAATTCATTCCCCCGATTCCTTTGGTTATGTATCAAGAGCAACTGTTCTTATCTTGTTTGTTCTCAGCTGAAAAAACAACAATAATACATGTGCTTTTATTACAGATGTTTGCTGAATATGTGTTAATAGGCCATGGCTTACTTGCCTTTTCATAATGTTTCTCCTGTTGATTTTAAATTAATAAAATATTTGAGCTAGAACAAGGTTTTTAGAAGGGATGGTAGGTGGATTATGGGAGCTTTCTAGCTCCTATAGGTTTTTAAGTTGGTTGGAAAGCCATATGAGTTTCCAGATGTCTCATTGCTGATGATTAAATGAGATTTATCTGTTTCTGTAAGTCAGAAAATAAAAGGGAAATACATGTATTTATTGATGACACTAATATGACCCCATTGACAGCAAACCAGAAAATAAGATTTTTATGAGCTGTTCTAAAACCGTTCCATAATATCTTGTTGTAACCTAGTTTTGAAAGCCTTGAAAAGATTCCTGCATACCAAATTTTATGACTTCCTGAATGTTTGAGCCTAAGTTGTTCATGTTTACTGAAGTTGATCTGAACACGAACTTTATATTATAATTTGAATCATGCTGGGAATAGTCTTAAGTTGAAAATTGAGACCAGGAATGCAGAAAGTAAAAAGTAAAACAGTCCAAGTAAATGGTTATTCCAGAGACTGTGGGAGGCTGTCATAGCAACCAGCCAAGTTTGTGTGTAGTCAGCTGTACCAAATATATTAAAAATAATTAAGTTGATGACTATTGGATGAAGGAACTTTAAGGCCTGAACTCGTGGTCCGACTGCATTAAAAAAAAATATACTTTCAGAGAGGGCACCTTAAGAAAGAAAGCTAAATAGTAGAATCTTTTCAAAGCTCAAGTAAAAATGAACCTTAAAGGAGCATTTAAAAGCTGGTCTTATGAGGAGTGGCTGAAGGAGCTGGGAATGTTCAGTCTGGAGAAGAGGAGGCTTGGAGGAGACCTTATTGCTCTCTGTAACTATCTGAAGGGAGGTTGCAGTGAGCTGGGGGTCGGCCTCTTCTCTCATGTAACTGATGATAGGACTAGAGGAATGGCTTCAAGCTGCGCCAGAGGAGATTTAGGCTGGACGTTAGGAAATACTACTTCTCTCAAAGAGTAGTCAAGCACTGGAATGGGCTGCCCAGGGAGGTGGTGGAATCACCAGCCCTGGAGGTGTTCAAGGAACGTTTGGATTTTGTGTTGAGGGACATGGTTTAGTGAGAACTATTGGTGATAGGTGGATGGTTGGGCTGGATGATCTTGAAGGTCTTTTCCAACCTTGTTTATTCTGTGATTCTGTGATTTTTTTTTTCTTAGTATGTGATTTTTGAGTTCTTCAACATTGTGAAATGATTTTCTGTAAGGAAGTTTACTGCATGCATTTCTAGTGGTGTAGAATAGTGGTCTCTGACGTGACCTATCTTGAGCAAGCTCTTTCTCCAAGACCAGCATTGTGAGTTGGCATCTTTAAGACATCATGCTGAGATGGAATTCATGAATCATAGAATCTTTTTAGTTGGAAGGGACCTTCAAAGGTCATCTTGCCCAACCCCTCTGCAGGGACACCTGCAGATACATCAGCTTGCCCCATCCAGCCTGAATTGTGTGTGTTATGTTTTTCTTTGGTCTTTGGGAAAACATGGAACCTGAAGGAATTGATTGAGTCAAATGATTTTAAAAACTGTTCTAAAAACAGTAAGATTTGTGTTTAAATAAAATGCAGCATAGTGCTACTTGTCTGCCCCTGAGCTGTTCATGCAAAAGGCTCCAGAAGATTGGGGTGGGATTGAGGGATCATACATGGTGTTACTGCTATCTTTGTAAATAGTTACTTGCTGAAATATTTTATTTACAAGTTGATGGACAAATGAAAACCATTTGATGCTGCAGTAACCATTTAGTTAGGAATAATAAAAAAGACCAGAAAATGATTGGATGACTTTGTGCTTTTTCTTTCTTGCTGTTGATAAGCCACCTTCCAACTGTGCTTCAGCCCCTGTGCAACTATATCTGAATGGAATTGCATGTTGTACTAGTTAGAAGTGTAGCTAGTTACAACTGATGATTTGTGAGTTTTGTGAGATTTCTTAGCATCCCACTAGCGCCTTGATTAAGTACTTCTTTGTTGGTCTTTATTAGTGTAACTGACAGAGCAATTTAAAATTATGTGCATTTGCTTGAAGATAAAGTTCTCTGGGGCAAGAACAGAATAATCTTTAGGTATTAAATTTCATGGAGGTTTTTATCTCTGGAGGATCAAATATCCTTTTTAATATTTATTGTTCCCTTCAGGATGGAAAGGGAGGATATCTACTCCGTTTATTTTGTTTACTATTCGTAACTGAGAAAGTGGTATTCTTTTCAAAACTGTTGGATTGTGACGAACATAACTTTTTGGTTTGGTAAATGTTAAAACAGGAAAGACTGGAAAGACCTAGTCCTTCTTCAGATACTCTGACATTCTGAGGAGGAATGTTCAGGTTAGGGGTGGCACTTAACACATCCTGTAACACTGAGTGATACACATCTCACATTTGGTTATTGTGTATCTGCCAAGATGGTTGCCTTCATTGGTACATCCAATCCAAGAGCAGAAAAATGCTAGCAAAAAGATTTTCCAGGGAAGGTAATACTTATGTTTATTTATATTAAAATGTGAAATGAAGGTATGTTTCTGCTACTTCCAACTGCAGTGACAGTTAACAACTTTTCAGTTAACAACAACAAAATCCACCAGACTACTATGAAGGTAGCATAAAGCCTTCTATTAACTGCAACTAGCTTTTGGTTGAAGCTTTAATATTTGCTGTTTGAGGTATGAGAAATCGAGTGATTGAAACTAATGACATTGCTTTTTTCTTCCGTATCTTGGTAGTAGAGTGTGGTTCTGGCATACGAAAGCTTTTACATATAGGGCATTAAGTTGAATTTGCTCAAAATTTCATGGCAAAGTAAATAATAATTTGAAGATTTCTGAATTTACTCTCAAGGTTAATGTTGTATTGGAAATCTAGTTCCTAGCAATATGGTCTTTATTTTTTTCCAGTGTGAAGACTAGCTTCCTGGTAAATATTTTTAAAGTTGTTTGCTTTTAGTACTTTTTGGGGGATCTTGAAAGTAAGTTAATTTAAGACAACTTCTGCCAAACAAAAGTAGGACATGGATGTTAGGATTTCCAGAGATATTTCCCTTCTATCAGTTGTGATTTTGTGTCATAGATTCTTGGTATTAGTGAATTAATACCAATTGAGACAGATGGGTATCTAAAAATAGTCATTAATATTTTTACTAGTTTGTTTATGTAGCTAGATTTCATAAATGACCTATTTTAAACCTTACTTTAGTCATCTTTATCATTGTTAAGTGTGTGACTTTGAAGTCTTTATAGTGATTTTTGAAACAAGCCCATTGTAGGACCTTAATGGTCAAAATAGGACCTTAATGATCTTTTTGTGATGAGAAGCTCTGAAAGTGTCTGAGAATGTTAGGATCACTGCTTCAGTTAAGAGATGTCTTCAACTTCTTAGAAAGTCCATTTTGATAGTTTGAGGTGCTAGCACTCAGATTTGAATTCATAATAGAAGGTCAGACCAAAATTGCTTCAGGAGACTTGGATATCTTCACAGCAAGCGTGAAGCTCAACCCTTTTGAAAGTCTAAGAATGAAAACTTGTGAACCATTCTGTCTTTGTCAAAAGTCAAATAATGTCATGA